AAACCGCCCTAAAATATATACAAAATAGCTTTAAAAAATATTTATAACAGCATCAAAAGATAAACAACATTAGAAAAACAAAAAACATTAAAAAATCCTATAACCGCCTCAAAAAACACCAAAAAAAATAGAAATAGCATCAAAAAATATAGTAACGCATCAAAAAATTATGGGATTATAATTGATGGCATTAAAAACTAGAAAAAAAGCATCAAAAAAAGTTCAATACATTACCAAACGAGAGGAACGCCAGGATGAATAAGGAATAATTACCATTAAAAAGAATAAAATTTTCTTTCAATTCATTAAATAAATCAACTTATTTTATCAAATATTAATTACCACCTCACATTAAAATTTAGGAGCTGCCGTTTTTTTAAACTTTTGATCGTGGTTACTACATTAAAAACCCTTAATAGCATCAAAAAACCCTTACACTTGTTGGTCAAGACATGGAGAAACACTACTTGATTGTAGTACATCCTCGACCAATTTACATATTAATAATAGTACATGCAACAAAGATTCATATGTTGTTGATGATGATCACCATTCAAATGATCCCAATGACAATTTCAATGAAATGTTCGATGACATGGAGGCTAATATGGGTGATGTTGAACAAGAAAAATTACATGGCCTATTTGAAGAAGCAGAAACACCGTTATATAGCGGTTGCAAATTTATGAAACTTGATGTTGTATTGAGGTTGATGAACTTAAAGTCGAAAAACGGATGGAGTGATAAAAGTTTCACAAGTCTATTAGTGCTTTTGCATGACATTCTTCCGGAAGACAATGCATTACCCATTTCTACATACCAAGCAAAAAAGCTAATGTGTCCGATGGGATTGGAAGTTGAAAGAATACATGCATGTCCAAATAACTGTATGTTGTATAGAAAGGAGTTCGAGAATAAACATAATTGTGTTTTTTGCGGTGCATCGAGGTATAAACGGAAAAAAGATTTGGATGAAGTTGACGATGATGTGACAAAAAATGGACCACCGGCTAAAATGTTGTGGTATCTCCCTATTATACCGAGACTGAAAAGGTTATTTTCAAACGAAGAAGAAGCAAAGTTACTTTGTTGGCATTCGGAAGAACGTGAAACTGACAGAAAACTAAGACATGTTGCAGATTCACCTCAGTGGAGAAACATTGATAAGAAGTATCCTGAATTTGGAAAAGAGATGAGAAACATACGGTTTGGGCTTAGTTCAGACGGGATCAATCCTTTTGGGAACATAAGCAGTCGTCATAGTACGTGGCCGGTTCTTTTGTGCATTTACAATCTTCCACCGTGGTTATGCATGAAACGGAAATACATTATGATGTCGTTGTTGATTCAGGGGCCGAGACAACCTGGTAACGATATTGATGTGTTTTTGTCTCCTTTGATTGATGACTTAAAAACTCTTTGGAGTTCGGGTGTAGACGTATATGATGCTTATAAGAAACAACACTTTCAATTGCGGGCCATGATTTTTTGTACTATAAGTGATTTTCCAGTGTACGGTAACTTGTCAGGATACAAAACAAAGGGTAAGAAAGCTTGTCCAGTTTGTGAAGATCAAACAAGCTCGATATGGTTAAAAAATTGCAAAAAAACTGTATACATGGGACATCGAAGATTCCTTCCGAAGAGTCACCGTTTTAGGAAGAAAACTATTGAGTTTGATGGAAGTATCGAGATCAGAACGATGAGGAAACGATTTGATGCATTTTCACGAGTTGCAAGTATAAATGTAGTGTTGGGAAAAAGATTTCGTGTTGATAAAGATGCCCTTTGGAAAAAAAAGTCAATTTTTTTTGAATTGCCTTACTGGAGACATTTGGATGTTAGACATTGTCTAGATGTTATGCATATTGAAAAAAACGTATGTGAGAGCTTGATATGCTTATTATTAGGTATGATGCATAAAACTAGAGAGTTTAATATCCGAAAGGACATGGTCGAGATGGGGATACGTGAAGATCTTGCTCCCGAACAAAGTGCTAACCGTATTTATCTCCCAGCTGCTTGTTATACTACATCCAAAGAAGAAAAAATAAAGTTTTGTCAATGTTTACATGATATTAAGGTTCCATCAACTTATTCTGCAAACATTAAAAGATTTGTGTCGATGAAAGACTGTAAATTGTTTGGAATGAAGTATCACGATTGTCATGTTTTGATGACACATATGATTCCTATCGCAATTCGTGGAATTTTACAAGATGATGTACGACATTCTATCACTAAGCTTTGCTTGTTTTTTAACAACATTCACTCAAAGGTTATTGACATAGAAGATTTGGATAAATGGGAGAAAGACGTTTATGTTACACTTTGTGAATTAGAGATGCACTTTCCACCCTCATTTTTTGATATAATGGTTCACTTGATATCTCACATCGTACAAGAGATTAAGGCTTGTGGTCCCGTATTCTTACGGTACATGTACCCTTTTGAAAGATACATGGGTATCCTAAAAGGTTATGTAAGGAACCGTAATCGACCTGAGGGCAGTATTGTTGAAGGGTATACTTCTGAAGAGGTGATTGAGTTCTGCCAAGGTAATCCTATTAATAATATATTACAGTTATAAACATTTATAATATATTACATATAATATAATAATTTATTTTTTTATAGGCTATATGAAAGATGTCGAAAGTGTTAGTGTTCCTAAAACTCGTCATTCAGGTCGACTTGAAGGTAAGGGAGGAGTCGGTTTAAAAATAACCATGCCAACTTATGAAGAGTTACAAGTTGCACATTTAGTGGTCCTAAAACACATGAAATGTCTTACTCCATACATTGATGAACACATGGACATGTTGAAGTCGAAATACCCGGGCAAGGAACAAATGTGGTACATAAACAATCATAATAAAGAGTTTTCAAGGTGGCTGAAAAATAAGGTAGCAGAAACTAATGTTGATGAAACTGTGAAAAGATTAGGACATGGGCCAGATTGTAGAGTTAAATCTTATGAAGGGTATGACATTAACGGGTATACCTTTTACACGAAAGATCAAGATCAAAAAAGTACAATGCAAAATAGTGGAGTTACAATGATAGCATCAACGACCGAATTCGACAGACGGGATCATGATACTTTGATAAGAATAGCCAAAGATTCTTATTACGGTGTTATACAAAATATTTGGGAGTTGAACTATTTTGACTTCGTTATTCCCGTGTTCAAATGCAAGTGGGTGAATAACCGTACAGGTGTTCAAGTCGACAAAGATGGTTTTACACTTGTCGACCTTACAACTAATGGCTATGCATCTGAACCATTCGTTCTCGCAAAACATGTCACACAAGTTTTCTATGTCAAAGATCCGAGCAAACAAAAAGAGCACATCGTCTTACAAGGTAAACGACGAATTGTTGGTGTTGATAATGTCGTTGATGAGGAAGAATACGACCACTTTGATGATCTACCACCATTTTCAGTTGGTATTGAACACGATAATTACGATAATGTCGAACGCACAACATTCGTACGATCTAACATTGAAGGGACATATGTTGATTAAGGACATGATTGGGGTTTTTCTTATGCATTTTTTACTATTGCGATTACATGATTTTTGTATGAAATACTATCTATTGATAAGAGTAATTACAATACGGTCCTTATCTTTTGATAATTACAATGTTTCTATATTACTATCCATTAAAATGTATTAGTATGAGTGTAAAACTTTTACTTGCTCTGTTAACAAAATGGACAAATTCACTTTCAGAAAAAGGCAACCTAGTTATAATTTCAAAAACCGCCTCAACAAATAAACCGCCCTAAAATATATACAAAATAGCTTTAAAAAATATTTATAACAGCATCAAAAGATAAATAACATTAGAAAAACAAAAAACATTAAAAAAATCCTATAACCGCCTCAAAAAACACCAAAAAAAATAGAAATAGCATCAAAAAATATAGTAACGCATCAAAAAATTATGGGATTATAATTGATGGCATTAAAAAATAGAAAAAAAGCATCAAAAAAAGTTCAATAAATTACCAAACGAGAGGAACGCCAGGATGAATAAGGAATAATTACCATTAAAAAGAATAAAATGTTCTTTCAATTCATTAAATAAATCAACTTATTTTATCAAATATTAATTACCACCTCACATTAAAATTTAGGAGCTGCCGTTTTTTTAAACTTTTGATCGTGGTTACTACATTAAAAACCCTTAATAGCATCAAAAAACCCTTCAAAAAAGTCCAGGATACCGCTTCAAAAAACCCTCCATAGCCTCCCCAAATTCCACACAAATCGCATCATAAAACCTAAAACCGCCCCAAATCATCTCTTTCCCTCTAAAATTTTAGTTTTAGCTTTCTAAAATTTTCATTGCGCGCCTTCTTCTGTGTTCCATAGCTGAATTCGTAACCCATTCTTTCTGTAAAACATCCATAGTCGACGCCATTCCGACCTCTATTCCGGCCGTCCCCGACGCTTAAATCGCTCCACAAGTCTCCTCGGTTTCAATAGGTTGGCATTTTCGAGTTTCTTTTTCCAATAAGGTATGTATATATATATCGATTTGTTTTCTTTTTATACCTTAGGAATCTGTAAGAATATGAGAAGAATATGAAAAGATGATGATGAATATTTAGAATATATGATAAGATGAACACGTGACTATAGTATTGATTTTCTTTTTGTCAAAAAGCGCTATTACTTTAGGTTATATTTAGGAATCTTTTAGGAATCTTTAGAATATGAGAACAAACTATATGATGTCGGGAATCTTTAGAATATGTTTAGAATATGAGAAGATGTTTTATTCTGTTTAATAAATGTAATATTTGGCCCACATATATGGGGTCTACCAATTTCATTGGATCTGTAACTTTTATGTGGATTATGTTTTTGTTTTTCTTGCAATATACTATTGTATTGGAATATGTTATACTCTAGTGTTTATCATGTTCTAGTGTTTATCATGGATAAAATTATTTTTAATTTGTATAATGTTGTTAGGTTATAAAAATGGATGAGGTAAGACCAATAACAAAAAAAAGAGGTCAACGTGGTATTGCTGCATTCAAGAAAAATTATCGACCTGAAGAGTATAATGTTAAATTCAATGAGAATAATATCCCAAATGGTGGCATGTCAACCCAATTTATGTCTTGGTTTGGCATGAATGTTCAACATAGGTTTCCGATAGATGAAGATCCGGGTAAAGTTAAAGATAAATATTTTGAAGATTTATGGTTGGAAGCTAAGGTATTATATTTTAATTTATTACAAATATGAATAATTTGTTAGTTAGTTATTATGTTTAACATTTTTTGTCTTGAAATTGTAGAAGCAATGGAATGGAATATCGAGTCTGATGACATGAAAGATTATATGAAGAGGAGAGCTGTTAAACTTGCATCAAATTTTAAATCAAGGCTAGTTTCAAAATTTGTAAATAATGAATTAGATGCATGTGCTGTATATACCTTTATACCTCGCGATGTTTGGGATAGATTCGTTGCACAAAAAACTACCCCTGAGTTTTTGGTATGTTTTAATTGTTTATTTATTATTATTATTGATAATATTATTAGTATGTTTACAAATAATTAATAAAATTTTGTTGATATGTGTGTAGGCAAAAAGTGCAAAAGCTAAAAAAAATAGTGCTAAAAAGAAATCCCAAAACCACGTAGGACGAGGTGGATGGCCGGGTCTTGAAAAAAAAGCACCTATTATATGGCCTCAACTTGTAGCAAAATATGAGTTTCTAGAAAGCATACAAAATGAAAGGTCTAAGTTGTATTTAATGTCTTTCGCAAAAAAAGACAAAGAAACCAAGATGTATGATCTTCCACAAACGGCAATTGAAAATTTCAAATTTTTGGTAACAATTATGTTTTTTAAATAATGAGACTTTGATTATTTTTAGTAAATAAATGTTACCAAGTACTTTTTTTTATATAGGAACGAGAAGAGAAAAATATGATAGCCGATGGGAGCTATTATCAAAATGAGGAAGACCCGTTAGTTAGGCTTTTGGGGCCCGAGCACGGGGGGCGATCACGGACAGTATCCAATATCATTGGGCCTACCAAGGTTTCGGGTGGATTGTTTAAAAATGTGAAAAAAAGTCGAAAATCGATGCCGCGGGTCGACACGAATCAAACATTCCGTGAATCTAATGGTGTGTCCGATGGACGATTGGTAGAATATCCACCTATTGAGGTAATATATTTATAGTTTTTATATAAACTTATATTAGATTTATAGTTTTTTTTGTATGATTTGTAGGTTATGACAGCATGTGATTTGCTATTAAAAGTTGCTGATACTGAGTTGAAAGTAGCTTCTGGTATGGCATGGCCGACCTTAGAAACGGTTATACATTCAAAACCAATAAATGAAGGTTGTGTTAAAGTTCAAGTTGATGAGATCGTAGAAATATATGAGAACTTGCCTGTGCATGCCGTAACACAAACGGATGAAGTTGAATTTGTTAAACATCTGCTTCATAGCATCGTTCAGTGGCCGAGATATGCATTAAAGGTATATTTCTATTTAAATACAAAAATATATTTTAATATAGTTTTATTTAAATATTGCAATCTATTTAGCTTGCGAACAAAACACCGAGCAAGTCAAATAGTGGTACAAGAATGGGCTCGAATCACTCCTCTCCACAGATACACGTTGATGACACCACAACCTCATTTTATCGTCCACAGGTAGTCATACTCGACCGGTTCACTTTTATAAAATGTTGTTAATTTAGTTTTATTTGTTAATATTATAACAATTTGTTTGTTATTTTAGTCTGAGGAAAACCAATTTCCTTATCATCATCAAATGGATGCTAATGAACCTTTTCAAGGTGGTTTGGTTGATATGGTTAGTCTTAAGAAAACTTGTTTTATGTTTGTTTCTAGATGTTTAATGTTTGTATACAATCATATGTAGTACTAATGTTTTATGTTTGTTTTTAGATATTATCTATGAATCCACAACAAATTGATTTAAATGCACTCGGATCTGGGCCCGGGCCCAGGCTAGAACGTGAACGCAATCCCGATCTCGATCCCGATCCTGAACTCGAACCCGATTCCGAACCCGAACCCGAACCCGAACCCGAACCCGAACCCGAACCAGAATCCGAATCCGAACCCGAAATCGAACCATTTACATGCGTAGATGATGCTCTTTATATATCCTTGAGCAAAGTACAACAAAAAAGTCCTAAAATTCAAGCTATTGCTTTTCAAGAAGCAGACTTTTTTAAGAATACACATGGCACTTATATTTTTTCACCCAGAGGGATGTATCGCAACAAAGTTCGACTTCCCATCCTATATAGCGAGGTGTTACAGTTATTTCTAAGGGGTTGGCTTGATTATAGCATTATACATTGGTTTGCGATGTAAGTTATTATACTTTTAATATGGTATAATAACATTTAGATATAATTAATTTTACTAACATTGTGTAGTATATATAGGTGTTTTTCTAGGTCTCCCAATTCCGAATGCGCTTTTTTTGATCCGTTACGCATTGCAAGATTAGATACGCAAATAAGGTTTACGGCTGTCGCCGAACATATCGAAGAAGTATTTTCGTATCATGAAAGCAAAAAATATTTTATTGCTCCATATTTACAGGGGTATTTTTTTTCTTTCCATAATACATACGCATACATATACACACTACACGTATATGCTTACTTGTTCTATATATTTTATTTTTGTAGTGACCATTGAGTTCTTTTTTATCCTATGTCTGAATAGCAAATCTGCTTATATTCTGGATTCTTCAAAAAATGATGAAAAGAAATCAGACGAATACATTTTTACTTCTTTGATCAATAGAATTTTTCCCAGGACAATTTCATAAGTGGGAAATGGTAAAGGTATGTTTTTTGTTGTTTTTTTTTTATCAGTTTATTTCAAGTGGTTTGAAATATTTAATTGTGAATTAAATGTAGTGCTATAAACAAAAAGGTAGTTGGGAATGTGGATATATAGTGATTAAACACATGCAAGAGTTTGTTGAGACCATTCAACATGATTTTCAAAATAAAGTAAGTGTCTAGTATATATTTAAAATATCAATTTTTCTATCTAGTTGTATATATATTTATATAATTTGTTTGTTTGTTGCAGTTTTGGAAAAAGAAGATGTTTGCTTCGCCTCATAAACTTGAAGATATGGTCTTAGAATTGATACCGCATTTGATTGAAATGGTGAATGATAGTCGGAAAATAACTCAGTAAGAATTCATTAGGATGTTTTGTATTTTATTATAACTAAAATTTAAACTATAAATTAATTGTTTTTTGTGTAATGGTGTAGTATTTTGTAATACCTTTTTGTTTATTGGTATTAGTTTTTTTTGCTTCCATTGATGGCAACCAAATTGTGCTATTTAATAGAGCGTTTTTTTTTTGGCCTAAGGTGGTTCCATTTTCTAATGATGTTGACTGTAAGCATCAGCAACTGATTTATGATATTTTATGTTGCCATTATTCGTATTGCAGCCTCAAAAAATAACTGCATCAAAAAACTAACAGCATCAAAAAATAATTCTATTTAGCATCAAAAAATAACTCTATTTTCTAAGGCTAACAGCATCAAAAAATAACTCTATTTAGCATCAAAAAATAACTCTATTTTTTAAGGCTATTCAGTAACAGCATCAAAAAATAATTGTGTTTTTCTAATGCTGTTTAACAACCGCCTCAAAAAACAAGCCTAATTCATGAAGCACTTTTTATATGGCGGTTTTGTACATTTTCTAAGGCGGTTTAAGAACCGCCTCAATAAACAAGACGATTTTATAATGCTATATTTTTTGAAGCGGTTGAATAACCGCATCAAAAAATAAAATAAACCGCTTTATTAAACATCTTCTGTACTAGTGTAAACTACTAAAAATTGCGACTAATTAGCAACTAACTCCACCTAACATGAGACCCGGACTTCATAGCCTACATGGCTTTGATTTATTCTTGATAACTATTAAAACGTGCATTAAATAAAACTTAATGAAACTTAATAAAACTTAATTAGCTCAGAATGATAATAACATTTAATAGTTTATGAAAAATCTAATATGTTAACAATTTCTATTAACCATAAGTATAAATATGTAGACTTAGAGTTGCTAAATGTAAACGTGACACTCATTAAATGTAAAGGATATACAGTAAAATACATAAATGTTTGAATGCTTTATTTAGTATTTCTCTTCTATTAATTTTTTTTCTATTCTTTCCAAATACTCTTTTTTGAATGTTTGACATGCTCACAGGAATCTGTTTAGCGATCAAAATTTGAAACAATTAGAGTAGAGATCATCTCAATATTAAAAATTTGAAGATGCACCTCCATCTTCTTTTTGCAGTTTATAACATTGCATTCACTTATCATTGGAGTTTTAACTCACCGGAGACATCGGTGATGGTGATAGGTAGCAACAGTGAAGGAGACAACATTATGAGGCGTTGGTAGAGTAGCAGTCCGACACTCGACGACAGTATCGACAAACGTAGGGAAGCAGTGGGGGGAGACGACTAGCACAATAACAGTGGTGTTGGTGTTATGCTTATATTTTCTCGAAGGTCGATGGTGGAAAACGTCGGAGGTAGCATAAATCACAGATAATCTCGAGATGCAGGAGGACAATGCTAGCGGCGGATCCGGTTGATGAGGAGTTGAAATAAAAGATCTGGATAGCGGCATCAATTCTGATTTGGTTTCCGGCAAGTGATTGGTGGGGCACACATCGACGCAGTTGGAGGTTGACGGTGGTAGAAGGACGGAAGGAATGGAGAGGTTGATGATTTTAAGAATTTTGATAGAATGAATTAGATCTATTTTTTAGATCTAGTTTGTAAGATCTTATTATTCTTTTTGAAACTAGTTTAATATTTGTTGTTATTTACGATCATTGAAGTTTTTTTAAATAATTGGTTGATGAAAATGTTCTTTTTAATATTTATAAATATTTATTTGAAAAATAGTAAGTTAAAAAGGAATGGTTTCTAAGGTTAACCTTTGTTAGTTCTTACTTGATATATATATATATATATATATATATATATATATATATATATTATATATAATATATATAAATATATATATATATATATATATTATATATATATATATATATATATATATATAGAGAGAGAGAGAGAGAGAGAGAGAGAGAGAGAGGTTACGTTGAAATTTAAAAACAAATAGAGATCTTTATATTTAACCTCAGCCACAGATTTTACATCTACCATTCTAACCCTCGAACATACCGGCGTGACGGGTCTATAATAATCATAAATGATTATATAGTGTTGCTCATTCCTTTCTCTCTCGCCACCATCCCCACCATCACAACTGCCACCGCAACCACTACTACCACCAGCTGTGACACTAACCGAGTCCAACATTGTCACCTCCATCATTTATACCACCGCTAACTTTGTCACCACCAGCTTTTATGCCACCAACTGTCATAATTATATATGATTACTTAATGTGTGAATAGACATATATGTATAATCATTTATGATTATCCATATACATATAAATATATATAATCATATACGATTATACCTCTTTGTCATATAATCATTTATGATTAGGCATACGTCGTTGTTGTCTGTACGCTTAAACGTTAGAGTGACAAATGAGAAATATATGACTGATGTTGAATCTCAATATCTCTATTTATCTTTTAATCTGAAGTGAACCTTATATATATATATATATATATATATATATATATATATATATATATATATATATATATATATATATATATATATGTGTATATATATATACATACATACATAGGTTTAGCTTCTATGAAAAACAAAAAACCCTAAAATCATTAAAATGCATAAAAAAATACTTAGAGATCACAAAAAAAAAAAAAAAAAAAAAATTGAATTTTTTTATCAAAAAATCGCAACTTTTAGGTCAAAATCACTGAAAAAAATTATTGATTTTTTTTTTATAAAAAAATTCATAAAAAGGTTCTGTGATGTCTTGGTATTTTTTTATGTATTTTTATGATTTTTAGGGTTTTTTTTGTTTTCCAAATAAACCTTCTCTCTCTCTCTCTCTCTCTCTCTCTCTCCTCTCTATATATATATATATATATATACTTGATTAAAAAAAGTAGAGATCATAAGATTCAGCCTCATCCACATATGAGTCGACTGGTGTCAGAGGTGGTGGTAACGGTGGTGACGGTAACTGTTGTGGTGATGGGGATGCTGACAGAGGGGAAAGGAACGGGTGACACTATATAATCATTATTGATTATAATAGGCTTACTGCGCCGGTATGCCAGAGGATTAGAGCGGCAGATGTAAAATACATGGCTGAGGTTGAATCTCAAGGTCTTTATTTTTTTTTTTTTTTAATCTCAACGGAACCTACGTGTGTGTGGGTATATATATATATATATATATATATATATAATATATATATATATAATATTATATATATAATAATAATAATAATAATATTAATAATAATAATAATAATAATAATAACCTAACAAACCGAGTAGACAATAATAACGACATAATTTTGTAATCAAAACTTATTCGTGGTGTTGTTGTCAAATCGAAAATAGAGCAAGGTTCGTCCCTCTTCACAAATGTTACGCGGGACCTGAATAAGGCTTTATATAAATAATAAACATCCTTTGACAATTACATATAGACATAATTGGTTCTTTGCTTTCAAAGAGTCTATTCTAAAAGCTTGTCCAAGAAATATTCAATTATTTATGGAATCACTCCAGAAAGAGATAATTTTGGTAGAGAAAGTGTGTGAGATTTATCACAAAATTTCAAAGCTTGACACTCTGAAACCCTCCAAAGATGTTGATACCCTCTTCACTGAACTAGTCCGCACATGCATTCCGCCGGCTTCTATCAACATATCTACTCTCCGGGCTGATGTTCAAGAAATAAGGTCAAAGCTCATAAAACTTTGTTGTGAAGCTGAAGGCCTTCTTGAGGCGTTCTTCTCCACCATTTTTGGCTCTTTCCCGAATCCTCTTCGTCATCTAAAAGAATTCCCTTACTACTCCAATTACCTGAAGCTTAGCCGTCTTGAGTTTGACATTCTTACTAAACACTATTCTTCATTTAAACAAGCCTCAAAGGGTGGATGGAGTGGTTGCCTAAGAATCCTTGGATCCCACGTCAAACACCTCTTTCCGGTAATGGGTATGTGGGGGTGGTGTTCATGCCGGTGCCGGAGTGCCACCTCACTGTCATCTCAGCTAACACGCTTCCATTCCCACCACCCTAAGCGTCTTGCCTTTGTGGGGTCCGGCCCCTTGCCTCTCACATCTATTGTATTAGCCTCTTATCATCTCAAGGACACCATTTTTCACAACTATGACATCGAC